GAGAGAGGTATAACCTGAGAGAGGTATAACCTTGGAACAGTTATTTTTCTTACAGTAACTTATTTATGTATTTTAATATATTTTGTAGTTAAGGCATCGGCCTTTTCCATTAAAAGATAAGACTGGTTTGACTGCTTTTGGTCTGATTTAGTTGGGGAGAAGGCGTATGGTTAAGTTTATTTGTTCAATAAAAAACCAGACCACTTTTCTGGTTTTGCCGCATCGTCTCTGTGCACACTAAGCACTTTTGTTTCTGTTAGAGAATCCCGGGTTCCGTTGGAGGGATGTGCTGCTTTCTAGCTAAATTGCAGTTCAGTGTCCTAGAAGCACCGAAGGGATAACATCTCCTTGCTGGCTTTTAAGCCAGAAGATCTTCGAAAGCTGTCCGGTTCCCGGATCCACGCAGGTAGGAAGTGGTCTGTTTCACATCCCCACACCTGAATTGCAGGAAGTTTTGCTTCCGGCTACTTGTTCCGTGCTACTGCTGGAGAAAACTGCAGATACTGAGGTGGCCAAAGGTGTGTTTCAGGAGCAACAAAAACAAACTACACACCCAAGTTTGGTGCGTACTTAAGAAGAGCTGGCAGTACTTAATGAGATCAAAAGAAGGTGGTATTGAAAAACCTCGTAGCTCCTGGCTCAAACCTGTTTATTAATTGTGAGATCTCTTAGAATTGGATTAAAATGTTGCAGTAAGGCTGTATCTTAGATCTAAAGATATTTTAGAACCTTTGCCAAAGCAAATTTCTTCTAGAAGCTAAAAATATCTTGCACAGGATGGAGGTTGGGCCCCAGTGCTCCTAACTCCCGCGCCGTTCATCACGTCTACCGCTGTATGGATCGGTGTTCACAACGCAGGTGGAACAGAGTTCTGAGGTACCTTCTTGGGGCTGTCAGGAGCATTTGTGTCCTGTAACTGGTCTGTCTCTGACTTGCCAATACTGAGTTAAAGCCAGCAGCCCACCGTTCATTACAGCGCAACCGGTGAGCGTGCAGTCAGTTGAACGGGGAATGGAATTCCTGCGATTCTTTTAATCCCCAAAACGGCCCCTTTCCACTGCTTTGGCCACTCCAGTACGGAGAACTGTGCTGCCCAAAGCACGGATCTCTGTCACTTCAAATCTGCAGCAGGAGCTCATCTGAATCCTTTCAAGAACCTGGTGGTTAGGCAAATCCAGCTCCTCAGTAAAAAGGGTGGTGAGCCACCCATGCTGTTCTAAAATTTAAAAGACTTGATTATGGAACAGTCTCTTGGCATAAGCGTTGGGCTTTCTGCCACCTGCTGTACCTGTTCCCACTGTTTCAACCTCTTCTTTTGTTCTTTACGTTCAAAATCTTAATGCTTCCTTACATTTATGTAGTTCACTCAGTGATAAGAGAGGGGCTCTGACCAGAAAGCAGCTTTCCCATCAGCCTGATTTTCAGGGCTACACACCAGGCACTTCCAGTCCCAGCTCTGTTTTGTTCTTGGCAGCGAGGTCAGTCCTTGGGTCATAGTCCAGACCTCAGATAAGGCTGATTTCCCCTGGCTAAGTTTCTGACAAATAATTTGTCATTTATTTTCCTGTAAAAACAACTTTTATCTTTGCCAAACGTAAACCTCACATCCTGTAAGCTGAAGCGACACCAGGTTTGCAGTTGTCTGAAATAAAGCAGCCCTTGGCTGCTGTGCAGCAGCCAGCTGACGTAAGCTGAACCTGCTCCAGGAGATCAGTGGCCAACAGTCCCCGCCGGTACGATTCAGCCCAGGACTAACCCCTAGTGATCCCCTTCACGGGTACAGAAGGGAAACTGGTCACAGCAGGTGAAGCCACTGGTCAAGTACAGAATAACCTGTGAAACCACACTAGTAGAGCTGCATGTTGGTAAAAATTCATGGGCAAGGCAGCTTAGATGGCACCACATCTTCGTATGTGCCTGCCTGAAACTTCAGTTTGGGCTGGAGCCTTCCTCATACAGCCCCTTCGCTGCCTGGGAAACGCGCCGCAGAAGTACCATGCTGGATCGGCGCCTGCTGAAGAGGGATGTAGGTAATGGTGATTCTCAACGTCCTGATTCAGGTTCCAGTTTGGAGTTTAAAAAACCAAAGCAATTGGAACTGACGCTTGATAACAGGTTATCTGATTTTAGCCCATTTCTCCAAGTCCTGTGGATCACTGCTTGTCTTAATTAATACTAATTCACTCAATACCCAGTGTCAGAACTTCTTTGGGGCATGTTTATGAATGCCATAACCATTTCTTCAGTCTGGTCTACCGCCAAACTGGTTTATCTTGCTCCATATTGAATTGTTCCTGTTTTCAGCTGCTTGGCCAACTGATAACCACCAAATCCTGAAAAATTTGTTATGAAGCATTTGAATAACACAACGCTTCAGTAAAGCTGCTGGTGCCCTGCATCAGGTGCCAGGCTTTGGACATGCAGTCAGCTGGTGGGAAATGGGCATCCTGCATCAGCTGAGCTGATGGATGTCTGCACGAGGCCATCTTGCCTGGTAGGAAGTTTCTGTCCTCTGTTGCTCACGCTCCATAACATACTGTTCTCAGTCCTATTTTTCTATATTGTCCTGCTTACTCATTTTGTGGGTCTGTACGTACGTATTTCATACTCATATTCCTTTCCATAAGGATCACTTTGCAAGCAGCTACACCTAATTGTAAATACGGATTTGTATCCAGCAAGAGCATCTACAGAGAGGACTCCCATTATCAGCGCAGTCTAACTGAAGGCCCCTCTCCCCCACGTAACTCGTGTCGTTTGAAATTCCGGTGAGCGCAGTCCTTCCTCTGTCCCCGCAGCACCAGCCACGTGCGGGGCTGCCTTTGGCTTTTGGGACCAAACAGGGAGGGTGGGAGAGCACAAAAGTGTTGATTTTTAAATCTTTGAATGCTAACTGCAAAGTTGGCTTCTTGAATTACTTCATCTCAGTCACTGGAGGCAGAAGGGTGGTTCTGTGTGTACCAGATCGATCCGGGCTCGCTCAAGTAGAGGCTGGTGTGCCCTCTAGTGTATTATGTATTATTAAAAAGCAGCAAGCTCAAGCTTCAGAAAGCCCAGCTTCTTCCCAGTCATGTGGGAGGCTGTTCCAAGATCTACCAAGCACACACTGAGGCTGACGATGCAGTAGAATGAGTAACTTCGTTAAGTAATTTACTCCCAACTCTGTGGAGCTGACTATGATGTGAACAGCTGTGGCACCCGTCACCTTTGTTCAAAACTACCCAAATAATTTTGCCTTATCTTTTTTTTTTCTTTGAAACCTCTGTTACTTGTCTCTTTCTGCTGGAGCAGCTCAGAGTAAGAACTTTTTACCCCAAGAATAGCTGCGGCCCAGAAACGAGCGATTCACAAAGAGTGTCCTGACCTGGTGTTTGACTTCATCCCCTTTGTCTTTTAAGTAAGTACCTTAAAACAGTAGCAGAGGAGCGTTAAAACTGAACAAGAAAGTCTCGGCAGTGCACGGAGAAGCCGACTTAGGGACACAAGTCTGAATATGAACAAGATGGTGTAGATCTGTCCTTCCTGGACAGAGAGGAAAGCTAGAACTAAGCAACTGCCCACAGTCCAGGACAACCAACGCTGAAACCACAGTCTGGCACGTCACTCCCTGAACGGCTGTGTTGTCCCCTTGCTCTGGCATCAGCAGGCACCTCGGCACCTCTCATTTTAGAAGCAACGGCAGCAGCTCCATGCTTCAGCGGTTCCTTTTTCCAACCTCGTGTGCTGGGATCGCAGCTGAAGGTTATTGCTCCTGTACCTGTGCCAGGAGAGGCAGGAGGAATAACGCACACCCTCTCCCCAGCTCGCTGCCAGCCCGTGGCCTGCACTGTCTGGCGTGGATGAGCTGAAAGTGCACCTGTGTCTATTTATTGCCAAAAAGGTTAGTTTCAGGCAAGCAGGTGCAGGCCAGGGCTGAGGTGCAAGCGGGGCGTTCTGCAGCCTGGCCGCATCCTGGCGCGCGCACGGCTCTGCAACAGCACCTCCCATGGGCTGGGCACCACAGCCTGGCACAGTCCTGCACCACCACTACTGCCTTTCTGGTACTGTTTACCACAGGAGCTGGGTGTCTGCTACCTGGAAAGATCCGAGCTGGTCTCCAAGGACAGAAGCCACATTGGAGCACACCAGTCCCCAGGACAAAACTAACAGGACATGAGGCCACGCTGTTGGTGACCCTCCTGCTGCCTGTGGATGACAAGCCAGGGAGAGGTGAGTTGGCACCTTCCCGCTACCCACCCACCACCCCTGTTCTGAGGCCGGAGCCCCAGAGCCATCCTGGTACCCACACAAGCAGAGAAGGATGCAGGAGCAGGTCCATTTAGCTGGGACATTATCTGGTGAAAGGGCTGTGTCTGGGTCTGCCTGCGTGGCACTTAGCAGAATAAAGTCCTGCTCTTCGTTACAGCGCCAAGTCCTTCCCACTGCCAGCAGCTTTACAGCCTCGCTGTCTTCCTTCCCAGCTCCACAGAGTTGTGCAGCTGGAAAAACCTCCTATTTCCCATGGCAGCTCCTCTGTTTCTGCCTCTACAAACAGTGAACGCAGTCAAGCCCCAGAAAATGTCTCAGGCGTTTTGTAACAAAACTTGCCCAGCTAGAGTTCGATGCATTTAACTGACCCATTTCCTTTGTTTGTTTTTGGTTTTAATAAAAATCAGCCATTAGCTTGGGGCAATGCACAGTTCTGATTTTCACCCTGACAGATGAGAGATGCATCCCACCATGCCATTTCCACCAAGGAACAGCTGGAGAGCTGTCAGAATTGTGTGACAACGACCCCCTCCACGCAGCATTAAAAGCAGCTGGGAGTTCGTATTAGAATGGAGTCTGGAGAAGCCCGGATTTCCGTTTGTATGGTTCAAGTCCCCTGGACCCCACTGGGTAAGGTACAGCTCGTACAGAGCGTGATGAAGTCGGCACCAGCGAAGTTTGTCTGGGCTTAGACAACCTGCCCACCACCCACCACTGCTCTCTGTGTGACAATGGTCATGCTCCGCACACCATCACTCGTAATAGACAAAGGAAAAATCCCAAAATCCTGTTCTGTTCGGGTGCTTTTTCAGGCGTGCCAAGCTACGATGACTGATGTATTTCACAAACTTCATAGTTTCTTTGTCTCTATAAACTAAGGCCAAGCAGTTGTCCTCTGGATTCACTGTCAACAGCTAGAAGACATGAAAATGAGAGGAAATGAGTTTCACAGAAATGGCTTTGGTATCATTCCTAGGAAGAAACAAACAAAATGGTTTGAAAAGCTTGTCCGAACAAAGGTCTGGTGTTAGAAAATGAACTGTGTCACTGTTTTCATTTTAATAGCGCTTAACCTCAAGCATATATTGGACAGCAAGGTTCACTTGAAGGGATTCTGGACTTCTTACTAGTATGACCACTCAGCATTTCCTTGGAAAAGCACCTCCCAGGGGCAGGTGGCATTAGGCACCGTCAGGGCCTGAGTCTCAGGCTTTATGGTGAACGCTGGCCTCTTGCAGCTGAAGCCAGGCTATGCCCACAAGCTGTAACGGAGGCAGGAGGGCTCCAGTGCCACACCGAGCACCCCGGGATCGTGGTCGCATTACGGCAAAGTGTAATTCTGCCTCTCCACCCTGAACAACGTGATCTAATTTGCAGCTAGTGCCTGAGGTCCTTACCTCTTCATCTTCACCTTTAGCGATGTAGGAAGTAAAGCCACCGTATTCCGGATCCCAGTCTTAAAATAGAAAAGAAAGATTCTGAGAAAGTTCAACCCTGTCCAGGCTCCATACAGTCTTCCTGAAGATGCTGTCTTTCCACCCCACTCCTTACAGTTAATGGACACAGGACAATCCCCAGTTTACCCCCACTAGTCTATTTTTTTTTTTTCCAAATCAGAAATAACTTGGAGCAAATGTACTGGATTTGCATTTTACCACAGAAGGGTCCTTTAAGGTTGCTTGGCTCTCTTCTCCTCACGTGTAGAGCAGTTTTGCCCTGGCAGATATGCAAAAGGCTTTCGGTATAATTACAGGCATGTGCCAGGTGCTTTCAGCTGTGCACTTGAGGCTCAGCTGATCCAAAAATGCTCATGTTCATATTTTTGGTTTTGCCACTATCTAACTAGCAATCAAACTAAAATGCCTAGACATGCCCAAAATAACTTTGGAAAACCCTAGGCTTTGTGAATTGGAGGCAGTGATTTTTTTGATGAGAAAAGGGGCCAAACAGAACACTTTCAGCAGGTACTCTGCCCACCTGACCCTCCTCCATGGCCAGAGCCACTGGTTAGTAGGAGGAGAGGTCTGGGAGCCGCAGCCTCTCCCTCTGCCCAAGCGCCACCTCCTGGCTCCAGTCACAACGGTCACAGCTGATGGCAAAGGCTGCGATCCCACATCTTTGTCTCAGGACCACCAAAACCTGCTTATGCAGAAGTGAGGACTAGGAGAAAGTCTACAGAGCCCTTCTATGTAGGAGAAAGCAGGGCAGTTTTGGCTATTGTAGCACTGCTGAGATTTCAGAAGTCCTTCCTTTAGGCAAAACTTGTTAGGAGAGTCTGACGTCTCGTGTTTTGTCCACTTACCCTCACAGCCACAGAAGAAGAGCAGGTCGAGAGCAAATTCTGTTGCTTGAGCATCGTGGACTAGAGTATAGTGCCCGTGGGCCCAGCGCCTCAGCTCCCCTGCGCACACGGGGGATCCTGTCCCTGGGAGAGGGAACGAACGAGCCAGGGAAAACAATGCAGTTGTAAAATAGCTGCCGCTGCTCAGCTGGAGGCGTGTGGGGCGTGAGCCCCCGCAAAGGGAAGAAAAAGTAAAACCACAGATCTCGCCTTCTGGTCTAGAGGGGGCTCTAAATTGGGTACTTTGAACAACAGGGAGGAGTGGGGCCAAGATTTGCTCTTTGACAAGTCCAAGCTGTGACGTGCTTGGGTTTAACAAGTTCCTTTTTTGTTTTGTTTCCCCTTGGATTTACAGTAGAGCTCCGAACCTCAAAAGCCAGCAACCTACCTGCTCTGGAAGTACCCTGAAACTGCCAGAAGCTTCAGTGAAGAAGGATATTGCTCTGAACTCACTCTTTTGTGTGCCATCCCAGGAGATATGCCAGAATTTGGGGAAGCCTGTCTCTTCTGATGGGTCTAGTTTTCAATCCATGCAGCCTCAAACTATGCTCTCCTCATCCGTGAATTAAAAATCACACGTTGGGAACACGGTAGATAGAAGAAGCAAAATGACTCAGAAAAACAAAGCCTTTGCACCAGGTAAGGATCCCGCTCTGTTCTGGTGGGATTTTCCAAAGGACTTGTTTTTTTATTACCTTTTATTCCAGTGTTTGCTCACTTGCCTGACTCTGTACAAGATGAGCATTTTCAAAAATTCTACCCTTAACTTTAAAGCCACTGTTTTAAATAAACAGCACGAATCCGTGAATCCAAAATTAATCTGATCTTTGATAGCAACGATATCTCACTGCTGACAGCTGAGAGGTTATTTAGGCTGGCAGCGTTTTCTGAAAGGTTAAATCCTCCGTTCAGGTATCTGTTTTCTAATTCTAAAATTCTCTTTATTTCTGCTCTGTTTGCTTTCTTCCTTTTGATTTGGTCTCTCATAGGATACTCTACATGAAGCAGGAGTATGTGGATGTAGAAACCATGTAACTATTGGCGAAAGATTATTGGGCAATTAATGTCCCCCAACCATGCCTTAACTCTACAGAATTCCCACCACCCTTAAGACTCAGGTCTGTTCAAAATGGTCTCTTTGAGTTAGTCATTAATTTATTCCAAATTCTTTTGCAACGGTCACTTATTTTAGATACTCAATCTGACATGCTTCAAGTCCCATGTTTGTGCTGGTGCCTTGTGCTGCCTGCAGCACAAGGTGAAATGCTAGTTGCATGAAAATCATTGGGAATTCTGCTGCTGACACTCTTAACATCAGGATTCTGCTCAAGTCGTGTCACACTGCTGCTCCTCTACTTACCGTTCTGTGTCTCGCTGTCTTGTGCTCCAGGGATGTTGTCAGGCTCGTCTGGCTGATGGGGACTGCCATCAGTGTGTCGTTTGGCCTCTTCCTGCTCAGGTTTGGGACTGCTGTGCCCATCGGTGTCTGCTGCTCTTCCTTCCCCAGCATCTTCATCCTCATCAGAGGGAGCCAGGAAGTGCAGCTTTAGGCCAGTGAAGTTGGAAAGCAGTAAAAACAAGGCCTCAGAGCGTAAGAACTGCAGGAATTTCTTCAGGATGTCTGGCAGGCTGTCTTCCTCTGCTGACTCATAGAGCCTGAAAGACAGCAGGTGTATCAGCAGATGTATCTCCTGGTTGGAGAGCCAACAAGGACCATGTCTATAGAGGCAGCATCAACCAGTGCAGCCTCGTGGCAGTTCCTGCTTGGCCTGACCAATAGGTACCGAGTGCTGTCACTTCCCCCTTTTATTCACCTTTTATTGGCAGGGCCCCGGCTATTCCACTGGATGTCTTTGTTCTCCAAAGCTTCACACAGTAGTTGGTATTTCTCTTTCTAGGAGAGAAAGACAGTGCAGAAACTTTCATGTTCAGCTCCTAGGTCTCCCTTGGTGTGCTAGAAGGAGCCATTGTCTACTCTCAGATAAGGCACTACATTTTTTTTCCCAACTTCTTTGAGGCACCTAAGGTCTGCTGAATTGAGGGACATAGCCTGGGTGGGCATCATGTCCTCTCGATGCCAGTGATCAACAGGTATCAAATGCTACTTGATTGTGAGATATGGATGCGCAGTGAACCAGAGGCAGAACAGCCTTGAGAAGCAAAGCCTTTCAAATACGACAAAGCTATTATGGGTCATTTGTTTCACACAGTGGTGGCGTTCCCCAAGCGCTAAGCTGTGAGAGCTGAGGTACAAGGAAGGACACTCTGGTCACCACAAGGCCAGGAAGCTGGAAGGATGAAGTGTTTCCATCCTTCTGCTTTGCTTCTTGCAGGAAACAAGAATGTTGAAGCAAAGTTTGTGATTTTTGATGAGTCTCTTTGCAGCAGTGTAGAGGCAGGCAAAGGGGATCCACCCAGAGGATCACAGAATGGTTGAGGTTGGGGGTCATCTGGTCCACTCCCCTTCTGGGAGTGAAACTAGAAAGTGTTTTAGTTGACAGCCGTGTGAGCAAGGCCTTTCTCAGCCTGCATGACGTGGGACCTGCCAGCCCTGTGACCTGTTCTAGCAGACCACATCAGATTGAACCACTGGTCTCACCTTAAGAAAATCTTTCAGGAGAATTTCTGATCGGTCCTCAAATTCCTCCTGGATTTGAGCTTGGGACTCCATGTTCAAATAAACTAGATTGATCCACTCGTACAAGATTTCATGCTGGAAGGGAAATGGATTTGAATTTGCAAAAGTAAAAAGGATTCCCCAATTCCCCTTTACCCAGCTGGCCACAGGGCTGGATTCCTCCCCACACATGCTCCATTCCCTTTTTTTTTTTTAATTGCACCGTGATTATTTGCTGTGTTCTCTGCACTATTGTAGGTGTGCGAAATGTATAGAGTCAAGAAAGATACACAAGAAAGAAACCACCTACAAATTTATGGATAGGAAACAAACAAAAAAAAAAAAGGTAAGTTAAAGCATCCCTAAGCACCAGTGCATCCCATAATAGGTATTCCAGGGAGAGGGAAGACACAGAAATGCAGAGAAGCAGATACAGGCTTGTCACTCACATCATAGGGGATGTGTGGGCTCCTGGGCAAGGGAGCTTCAGTGTAGCGTGCAGGTCTGACTACTGACGGGCCGTGGAACCAGCCGCTCACCGCCAAGCGGCACTTCTCCTCAGAGACAACTTCTGACACCTGGAACAACATGAAGCAGCACGTTACTGCTTACACTACAAAATGTTTAAGGACCAGCTGTTAACAGGCACCACGTTACTCATCACAGGAGAGGGACCTGACTCTGGAGAGCCCACTGCGCACACACAGAAGTCAGGCAAGGGCTAGACCAGGCTGGATTACTCGTCTCACAGAGTGAGCTAAAGCAAAGTTTGATGCTCAAGTCCATTGTAAGTTTCCAGAATCCCAGACCAAGCTTTCCTCCAAGCTCCCAGCAGAATCCACTACCTCTCTCTGAGAGCTTCGAGTCACTCTGTTATGAGAAGGAATGGTATTTTATTTTTCTACCATTTATTCTGTTGAAGAACCAGCTACCCCAGGCTGCAGAAATTAGCTGTCACAGCTTAGTCTGGAACCTCAGCAATCACTGAGCATCCGTGGGCCGCAGCAGACTATACTGCTCTACGTTCTTCTCTTTTACTTTTTTAAAAAGTGCTGTAATACAAGCTAGCATGAAGGGCGTTTGCCCAATACCTTTGGCTCTTTGCCCATCTATGTACCAAACTAAGAGCAACCCCTCTATCCTGGCATTTAACCTGCTCTGTGGAAACCCTTGGTTCTCGCACAGTGATGGCCACTGTTAAATCTTGATTTCACCAAATTGCACACTGAGGTAAACTGGTCTAAACTGAGCAATTTTACAGTCTAGTGTGCAGTGTGAAGGGAGCCATCCTCTTATAACTTACTACAAGCCATAAACTGATGTAAATTTTTGAATAGCAAACAAAGACTTTGCACTCGTTTGGTTTATTTTTTTACGACAGTTTGATGGAACAGGAGGAAGAAACAGTCTGTTCTGAAAAGGTTTTGGCTCTTACTGATTGTTACAGAGCTGTAGTGGCCCTTTCCTTGCATGACTTAGAGGTGTTTTGGGTTATTTGGAATGGCTACTGCATCCTACATCACTTGGGAAATGGAAACCAGAAAAATGCCTGGCATTAGAAGCTCCTGCACCCACTCTGCTCAGCAAGTACCCACAGCTTTGTTTGCTATCTCCTGAAGAAACGTACCCCATGAAGGCCAAAACCTGAACATCTATCAGGAAGTACTAAGTGCTCTTTGCCCAATGTCTGAGAGGGCTTTAAGGTTAAACCTCTACCTGAAAACAATGAGGGCAGTGACCAAGTAGATGTTTGTTAATTAACTGTAAGACATAAATAACAGAGAAAGTAAAAGCCTAAGCAGTCTAGGTGAGGACATGCCTGACCTACATCACTGATCGTCTTCCTCTCCAGCCTTCTGCTCTTTGGCCCTGTTTGTTACAGTCCGTGGTGTTCTCCAGTACCCAGCAGTTTCAGATTTCAGCCATGTGTTTGTATCATGCAGTTCCACAGACTATTTATCCTGTTCCCAGGTATCTTCCTGTAAGTGCCACAAAGTGCTCCTCAACTATATCAGCATTTCTACTGTAGAATACCATACTACCTCTGTGTTACCGAGGGGGCAAAGCCATATCTGTATAGTGCCCTGCTGGCAAAGTGAGGTGCTGAGGAGCTCTTCTGGAGCAAAGTCATGGCATCTGCATGAAAAATGTGAGCTAGTTTAAAACAAGCAAAAATCTCTCTTGTCACAACAGCCAAACCCGCAGCAGTGGCCTTCCAGGACAGCAACACAAAATAGAAATGGCAATTTTTCTTCCCCCAAGATGATGAAGCTTGACTGACAGTTTAAAGCTGGCTTTGACAGTTCTTGTCCTACTTGAAGGCCAACCTTTAACATAGAGCACTTGGCATGAGTGTCCCTCCCCCCCACACTCCTCCCTTTCCCTTCTCCCTCCCCATCATGACTGTAATAACACAGAGTGAATAACCACAACAATGAGAATCAAAAACCAAAGAGGCAGCTCCTTGCCTGGTGGAAAGAGACTGGAGACACTTCAAAGAAAACCAGCGTGTTCCACGAAGGCACGAGTGACTTGATGATCTGCTGTGGCTGGCAGTGTTCTGAGGAAGAAGAAAACACACTCTGGTTAAGATATGAACTGGAACTCACTAGAAACTGCTGTTTCTCTCTGACGTCGTGACATTGCGACTGGCAAGACACCTGAGTATCAGGGATGGAGCGCAGAGTAAAGGCTTGATAAGCAACCAGTGGACTTGTGCTGCTGGAAAGAGAAGTTATCTCCATCACTTTAGAGTTCCAAGCACAGTTACTGGCATCACTTCCATCCTGCCTTGCCTCCACTCTTGGCCCTTGCAAAAAAGTGGGGGGAAAAAACCCAAAAAGATTCCTCTCTGCTTTAGCTTCTCCTTTTTCTCCACTGTTGCCCATTAGCATTGTCTGCGAAGCCTAACTGGCTGCTACGGCCATCTCTAAGGTGCAAACTTTACCTACGCATCAGCTTCTATGGACAAGGGAGAAAGTTTTCATCTCCCTTGTGCTGTCTGAGGAGAGAGTTGCTGCAAGGAGCACATAAACTTCATCTTTTTCAGCCACCTGAGGCTGAGCTCCCAGCACTTACCATCCGTGCTATACAGGTCCAGCGTTCCCCCGTCGCTTTTCTCCCAGGGTGGCACAAGGTACAGGATGAAAGCAATCCTCCGACCTTCCAGCTCGTCATCGTGGCACAGCAAGACATCTGCAATTACATGCGTTTTGCTGCGGTAGCGCCTTTCCAGTACGCACATGATTCATTCCAGCAGCTGCTTCCCTGCTTTGTCCCCGCACGGATACAACAAGAAAAAACACGTCCTTTCCAAGAACTGCGTTTTCACTCAACAGCATCACCAGCCCAAGATTTGCAAGATTAACTTCTGTGGGATTGCACTGCAATGGGCACATTTGCCCACTCTGAAGGTACAGGCAGTTATGACTCGTCATCCACCCCCTCCGTGGCTCTCACTGGGCACAGCAGACAGAGATTCTGGACTTAATAATGATTCAAGCTCTTTTAATTACAGAACTGCCCTTTGAGTAGGTCTGTTGCTGGAATAGGGGAGAGGTAGCCCTGGGAACAGAAAAACTGGACCAACAATTCACTGTGCAAAAGACTTAAAAAGTAGAGTTGGCAGCAGTAAAAATGTTCCCCCTCCTCCAGCAATTTTTCCTGACTAAAAGGGCAGGTGCAGCTGTGACCTGGTGACACTTTAGCATCAGACCTCACAAACTCAGCGGTGGCATTTGGAACACGCCACCCTTTTGCGTGGAAGCAGGCACGCAAACGCCAGCTGAACAGCTCCGAAAAGGCAGGGGCTTGCAACAACGCCGGGCCCAGTTAAAGCCATCAGCAACATGACTACAGCAACGGTGTTTCCACAACCGGGACTTCATTTTCTGACACTTGGATTTGCTGCTGATAGCTTCTAGGACCCTCTGGAACTAGAAAGAGGTTGTATAATTAGGTATTCTGTAGATACACGGTTTCCTATACACCCATAGGATCTCTGGGGAGAGGATCACTTATAGACTGACCTGTATATTCATATTTAGCACAGGAGATGTCAATAGTTGGCTCCAGCTCTATCTGGGTCACAGCAGAAAGCCACACTCGGAATTCTTCACACAGAGCATGTCTGAGAAGACAAGCACAAGGTAAGTGTCCTCCTGTGTTAGAAAATGTATCACCATAGCCTAAACTAATTTATTATCCCCTTTCCAACTCCTGAAACAGTTCAAGGTGCTGTTTCTGCCAGAGACATTATTCCTGTAGAACCACACAGGAGCTGGCGAGGAAAACAGCCCAGCACTCACATTGCTGACAACAACCAGCAGCGAGTGTGAAATCAGTCGCAAGGAAACAGCTAAGCATTTCCGAAGTGGCCAGCACACGATGGCTGAATCCGATTGCACCGCTCGGAGGAAAACTGTTAACTGACTTCAGGGCCACGAGCTACATGGATTCAGCTCTTTAGGCTGGCAAACGTGGCGCAATGTAGGCACTGGCACAGGTTGCCCAGAGAAGC